ACATCCTCTACCGGTGTTGGAAAGGCCTCGCTGGCTACTTGTTGAACATCAAAAGCCAGCTAACAGGCCCAGACTTCCCCACGTTCTACAGCAGGGAACTCAGCCACTACTCCAGATATAGCAATAACAAACGGCAGATGCTTCACAACTATCTCTCAAAGACAAGGCCCTGTAACCTCCAGCGACCACCTACCTATAATCGCGACCATCTCAGCAACACCAATAACTATACCAGCTTCACCACGGAGGATCGCCAAGCAGACCGACTGGGGAACTATTCAACAGAAAAAGCTACAATGAACTTGAGAGACCCAAGTTGCTTGGCAACAGTCCTTGCAGACCATGAACCAGTCAGCCGGTGAACAAAATGACTGAAATCAACACATGGTGTGAGGCCATAGGAACAGCCTACCAGGAGGCCACGCCTCTCAAACGCAACAGAACTCTCCCACAACAGACTCCAGAGACTCCTTAGCCCTCCACAGAGCCAGTTCCAACTGCCACAACAGAGAGCCGAGATCCATGGATTTGGGACATCGTAAAGCTACAATACATACCAGAAGAATACGGAAGGAAATAAACAAGATCTCTGGAACAAAGCAACCTTAAAATGAGCCAGAAATAGTTAGACAACTCTCACATCATACAACGATCCAGGGGAGAGTTCTGGCGTCCAGGTTAAAGAGACTGAAGGTTCTGCAGCCACAACGAGTCATCATATATAACTGACCGCAGGAAGTAAATATATGACGACCAAAATAAAGAACCCATATTCAAGGGACATATGGAGAGACATCTTCGAATCACAAATAGAGAGAATAGAAGTTTGAAGTGGGTACCCACAGCAGGGAGCTCGTCATGATGAGAACTCCGAGACCCAGATTACACCGCACTCAGCCTTCCCTGAAATCATATGGGAGGATCTGAGGTGGACAGCCCACTATCCCAAACCAATCTCCTCGGAAGAACTCAAGCAGAGCCATCTCAATACCAAAAAATAAAGCCCCTGGTTATTCAGAGCATCACCAAGGAATCCTCAGCCACAAACAACCCCGGCCATGGACAGACCCCAAAGACCGTGAACGCTTGCCTGGCCTCCGGGTTACTTCCCAACTAAATTCAAAGGGCCATTATTACCTAACAAGGAAGAACCCGCCGTCCCACTAAACTACAGACCGATCTTCCCTCCTCGAAGTACCTGGAAAAATCCTAGAAAAATCATCAATAACCGTCACAATCACCTGGGAAACAACCAACAGAGTCAACTGCAGACAATTCGGGTTCAGAGAGGAAGTCCACCACAGCAGCGATAGCCCTGGCATGTGAAAACATAGCCCAGAGCCGCGGCAGTGTTGAACAATGTCAATCCTAACTCTCCGGGATGCTTAGCGAAGGCATTTGACAAAGTCATGACTTCGCCAACATTAGCTTCTTTGCAACTTTCTTGACTGCAGAAATGCTAGACGAGGTAGGACAACACACAGGAAGACCTCCCCACTCGCCAGGCAAGAGTCCTCAGAACGTCTCTCTCCCACCCTATATATTATCCTACACAAGTGACACCCCGCCTCCCACTAGAATAATGCCAGAAGATATTATGGCAAAATGCAGATGACATCACTCAAATAACAACACATCAAGGAGAAATCACTTGGTACAGGCCGACAACACCAGGCGGGAATTAGAAGGGTAACTAATTACGAAAAACAATGGAAAATCAAACCAGTCCCCAGAAATTCACAGTGATACCCTTATGCAGAAGGAAAACCCATCCGTGTAGTAACCAATAATGCCTGAATAGAATACAAAATCAGAGGGCACCCTCCTGGTACTGCATATATCACGACAGTTACTCATCATATCCACACCAGGAAGGAAAAACCAGAAAGAGAGCTGAAAACTATACCGCTACAAAAGCGCTTCCTGAAAATAAAACTCTCTGCCTGGTGAGCATCATTTATCCACACAGATATTAACACCCGTAGTACCTCTTCGTACTGAGCACCACTCAAATAGTAAAATTACAGGTGTGGTCCCAAAATGAAGCCCGAAAGATTCGTCACAGGTGAAAGATGCCCTTCACCAGAACCACAGCCAGAAATACATAGGAACCTGAAATAAAACCCATCCAACCAGCAGCTGCCTGGCCAGCAGAATCTGGCAAAAGATAGAACTTGATCAGAGCAAGAACTCCTTCAAAATTTTTAGATAACGACAACAACCATACATGGTTTCTAAAAGTTACCAAATCTCAAAGGTCCATTACCACCCCCGATCTATATCACAGCCAGGCAATAGACAACCTCCCTAGACCAGCATCCGCCAGTGGGGTCGACGGAATGAAATAAGGCCCTTAAAACACCCATATATATGGGACAGGGTAGGATGTCCTGGTGCCTGTGCCGGCTGAACAATAACTAACCATGACACAACCAAACACACTATTAGTAGTCAGCCCGCCCTCTCCTTTTACCCCCTCTAAATTTCTTGAATTTCGAACTAACTTCCTTCCCCTCCAATCTTCTTTTCACCCCTTCTTTCTCTACAAAAGTAAGGAGGTTAAGATTGAGTGAAGGAAAGAGGGAGGAGGGAGGAAGGTGATGGAGGGGACGGAGGAGGGAGGGAGGGAGGAGGATCTTCCAAGTCTTGTAATAGGGAAGGGAAGTTGCTGTCTCTTATGACTGTCTATTGTATTGTTGACGGGTGGGGAAGGCAGGGAGGGTAGGGGAGGAGTGGGAGGTGAGGGTAGGGAGGGTAGGGGAGTGATGGGGAATAGGAAAGGAGAAGTGGGGGAGAAAAATGTAAAAGGGGTTGGGGAAAGGGAAGAGGGAGGAAGGAAGGTGTAGGAGAGTAATTTAACAGTGTGTAAACCAAACCTGTCCCATATAAGAGTTGTTTACTATAAGATGACTACACATAGAGTGAACACCGGTTATATGGACCTTACCCCGGCCTCTCTTACTCAGGCTTACATAACAAAGTGATTCCCATAGGCCTGGACGACTCCTTTGGGACCCAGTCACAAGAGGGTCGACTCCGGGTGCCTAGGGGCGTAAACCGGAGATTCTCAAAGACATTAGGCGAGTGTTGTTATTCAGGTTATATAAAAGACATCAAGTGAGTGCTGTTTCCAGGTTATATAAAAGACTACAGCAACAATACAACAGCAGTAGTCAACAATAGAAGGAATTAGCACTGGGTATTGTGAAGAAAAAACTCATTCCTGATTGGCCAGTGGTTGAGATACCGATTCTCAACTGTCCAATCACGGGCCTGATCTCGAGGAGTTTTTATTTTCTTTATATTTTGATTCATTTATCATTATTATTATTATTACGTCAGGTTAGGTTAGGTTAGCTTTATGTCAGGTTAGGTTAGGTTAGCTTTACGTCAGGTTAGGTTAGGTTAGCTTTACGTCAGGTTAGGTTAGGTTAACTTTACGTCAGGTTAGGTTAGGTTAGCTTTACGTCAGGTTGAGTTAGGTTAGCTTTACGTCAGGTTAGGTTAGGTTAGCTTTACGTCAGGTTAGGTTAGCTTTACGTCAGGTTAGGTTAGGTTAGCTTTACGTCAGGTTAAGTTAGCTTTACGTCAGGTTAGGTTAGGTTAGCTTTACGTCAGGTTAGGTTAGGTTAGCATTAAGTCAGGTTAGGTTAGCTTTACGTCAGGTTAGGTTAGGTTAGCTTTACGTCAGGTTAGGTTAGGTTAGCATTACGTCAGATTAGGTTAGCTTTACGTCAGGTTAGGTTAGGTTAGCATTACGTCAGATTAGGTTATTTACGTCAGGTTAGGTTAGCTTTACGTCAGGATAGGTTAGGTTAGCTTTACGTCAGGTTAGGTTAGGTTAGCATTACGTCAGGTTAGGTTAGGTTAGCTTTACGTCAGGTTAGGTTAAGGTTAGCTTTACGTCAGGTTAGGTTAGGTTAGCTTTAAGTCAGGTTAGGTTAGGTTAGCTTTACGTCAGGTTAGGTGTTCTAAGTCAGGTTAGGTTAGGTTAGCTTTACGTCAGGTTAGGTTAGGTTAGCTTTAAGTCAGGTTAGGTTGGATAAACTACCATTAGAGGATAAACTTAACCACCAAATGAAATAAACTGAGGTGATTAATTTCGAGGTAGTCCTTCTCCTTCCCCCCCCCTCCTCCTCCCCCACCCCTCCTCCTCCCCCCTCCCCTCCCTCACCTCATTCCTCCGGCCCTCCACCCCCTTCCCACCCCCCCCCCCCATCCCTCAAAGGGTAAAAATTAATAACACCAACAACCTAATTTGCATAATACAAGATGTGTTATGTGTCAGTGGTCAGTCATAAGGCGCCACATAACGAGTCATTAGTGTAATACTGTTATCGTCGCTTTAATAATGACATCTTGATACTTAAAAGGCTTAATGACTCTGTTTGGGTCGAGGGTATGACGTGACAATGTGGTAATTAACGGGTGATGAAGGTATTAATTAGTGGTGAGAGAGAGAGAGAGAGATTGCTATGGTATTTTTGTGTCCAAGCCCAATCGACGAAGAAAGGACAGACAGACAGACAGACAGACAGACAGACAGACAGACAGACAGACAGACAGACAGACAGACAGACAGACACATCTCTCGACAGCGTGTCATCCAAACAATAACCGCCGCCCATCAGGTCACTCAACCAATCACCGACCCCCATCCAGCAACTGAACCAATCACCGCCTCTCACCAAGCAACCCTAACCAATCACCAAAGCCAATCCGATAACCCAACCAATCACCGCTAGCCCATCCAGCAACCCAACCAATCACCAACGCCCATCTAAAAACTGAACCAATAACCGCCCACAAGACGTTTTCTCCCTGGGTGGATATCAACCAGTGACGGTTATTTCCCTAGCGATTCAAAACAACCAATCAAGAGCGACCAAGGGCCCAGAAGAAACATAAGAGTGTTTATGGAATTTCATTAACCTCCCAACATCAAAGCCTCCTCATTGGTCCTTACCTCCCTACACCAAGCCTCCTCATTGGTCACTTACCTCACTCTGACAGATAGTTTTTCCTGCCATTGGCTCGTCGCTGGACAGTGGCAGAGCGACGCAGGGCGGTGATTGGCTGACAAGTGTCCGTCTTCTTGGTCCTGACAGGCGAGTCCTCGAAGTCCGACATCTTCTTGGGCGAATCCTGTAGGTCCATGGTCAGTAGGAGGTACCATAGTCAGTAGGAGGTACCATAGTCAGTAGGAGGTACCATGGTCAGTGGGAGTATGGTCAGTAGGAGGTACCATGGTCAGTAGGAGTACCATGGTCAGTAGGAGGTACCATGGTCAGTAGGAGGTACCATGGTCAGTAGGAGGTACCATAGTCAGTAGGAGGTACCATGGTCAGTAGGAGTACCATAGTCAGTGAGGTACCATAGTCAGTAGGAGGTACCATGGTCAGTGAACATAAGTTGGGAGGTACCATGGTCAGGAGGAGGTACCATAGTCAGTAGGAGGTACCATAGTCAGGAGGGAGGTACCATGGTCAGTAGGAGGTACCATGGTCAGGAGGCGGGACCATAGTGTAGGAGGCCTCCATGGTCAGTAGGAGGTACCATAGTCAGTAGGAGGTACCATGGTCAGTAGGAGGTACCATAGTCAGTGGAGGTACCATGGTCAGTGGGAGGTACCATGGTCAGTAGGAGGTACCATAGTCAGTAGGGGCATGGTCGTAGAAGTACCATGGTCAGGAGGGGACCATGGTCAGTAGGAGGTACCATGGTCAGTGGGGTATAAGGTACCATAGTCAGTAGAGGTACCATAGTCGGAACATAGTAGGAGTGCCATGGTCAGTAGGAAGCGGAGGTACCATAGTCAGTAGGAGGTACCATGGTCAGTAGGAGGTACCATGGTCAGGAGGCGGGACCATGGTCAGTAGGAGTACCATGGTCAGTGATACCATAGTCAGTGGAGTACCATGGTCAGTAGGGGTACCATGGTAGTAGGAGTTACCTGGCCAGTAGGGTACCATGGTCAGTAGGAGGTACCATGGTCAGTAGGAGTACCATAGTCAGTGGGGTACCATGGTCAGTGGAGTACCATGGTCAGTAGGAGAGTACCATAGTCAGTAGGAGTGTACCATGGTCAGGAGGAGGTACCATAGTCAGTAGGAGTACCATGGTCAGTAGGGAGTACCATGGTCAGTAGGAAGTACCATGGTCAGTAGGAACATGGTCAGTAGGAGGTACCATGGTCGGTAGATACCATGGTCAGGAGGAGGTCATAGTCAGTGGGAGGTACCATGGTCAGTAGGAGGTACCATGGTCAGTGGAGGAGTACCATGGTCAGTAGGAGGTACCATAGTCAGTAGGAGACCATAGTCAGTGGAGGTACCATGGTGGGTACCATGGTCAGTAGGAGGTACCATAAGTGGGAGGTACCATAGTCAGTAGGAGGTACCATGGTCAGGAGGAGTACCATGGTCAAGGGGAATTAGGAGGTACCATGGTCAGTGGAGAATTCCATAGTCAGTGGGAGGTACCATGGTCAGTAGGAGGTACCATGGTCAGTAAGGTACCATGGTCAGTGGAGGTACCATGGTCCAATGGTCAGTGGGTGGACCATGGTCAGGGAGGAACCCTGGTCAGTAGGAGGTACCATGGTCAGTAGGAGGTGCTTTACACTGCAACCTGGTCAGCTGATATACTTTGTGAGACATAGACTCTCTCTCTCTCTCTCTCTCTCTCTCTCTCTCTCTCTCTCTCTCTCTCTCTCTCCCCCTCCCTCTCTCTCTAGCTTACACTTTTCCTCGTCACTAGAGATCGAGAACCACAACACAACACAACACAACACAACACAACCAACTCACTTAATCTACAACCTACAACTCTAACATCCAAAATGGCTCCTGAATTGGCTGAGACTCTACAAGTGTCCTTCCTTGATCCCCAGTTACAAAGGACAATTATCGAAGGACTCTCTGGATTGTGTCGTTGAGAGGAGATCGTAGGATTTGTCTGGCCCAGGGGTAGATCTGGGGCAGAAGTGTGGGACCTGGAGGAACGTCTTGGGATTGGGGACTTGGAGGAGCGTCAGGATTGGGACCTGGAGGAACGTCGATTGGGGACTGGAGATGTCATGGGATTGTACCTGGGGATTGGGGACCTGGAGACGTGTTGGGATTGTCCTGGGGATTGGGGACTTGGAGGAACGTCTTGGGATTGTACCTGGGGATTGGGGACCTGGAGGAACGTCTTGGGATTGTACCTGGGGATTGGGGACCTGGGCTCTTGGAATTGTACCTGGGGGTTGGGGACGCGTCTTGCGGTTGTACCTGGTTGGGGACCTGGAGGAACGTCTTGGGATTGTACCTGGGGATGGGGACCTGGAGGAACGTCCCTGGGGATTGGGGACCTGGAGGAACGTCATGGGATTGTACCTGGGATTGGGGACTGGAGGAATGTCATGGGATTGTACCCGGGGTTGGGGACCTGGAGGAACGTGTTGGGATTGTACGGGGATTGGGGACTTGGAGGAACGTCTTGGGATTGTACCGGGGATTGGGGACCTGGAGGAACGTCTGGATTGTACCTGGGGATTGGGGACCTGGAGGAACGTCTTGAATTGTACCTGGGGATTGGGGACCTGGAGGAACGTCTTGCGGTTGTACCTGGGGATTGGGGACCTGGAGGAACGTCTTGGGATTGTACCTGGGGATTGGGGACCTGGAGGAACGTCATGGGATTGTACCTGGGGATTGGGGACCTGGAGGAACGTCATGGATTGTACCTGGGGATTGGGGACCTGGAGGAACGTCATGGGATTGTACCTGGGGATTGGGGACCTGGAGGAACGTCATGGATTGTACCTGGGGATTGGGGACCTGGAGGAACGTCTTGGGATTGTACCTGAGATTGGGGACCTGGAGGAACGTCTGGAATTGTACCTGGGGATTGGGGACCTGGAGGAACGCTGGGATTGTACCTGGATTGGGGACCTGGAGGAACGTCTTGGGATTGTACCTGGGGATTGGGGACCTGGAGGAACGTCGGGGTTGTACCTGGGAACGTGTACCGGAATTAAGAACCTGAGGAATGTCACACTTCACCCACGACCTATTAACCTGTGTACCTGGCAACATACCTGTGGATTAGGGACCTGGATGAGTGTTCGAGGCCTCATTATGCGGATGTTGTTATTGTCCTCGGGAACGTCTCCGAGGACGACGTTAACGAGGGCGTACTCCATCAGCGAGCAGAAGACGAACACGGTGCACGAGGACATGAACACATCGATGGCCTGCCGGAAGGAGTGAGTCAGTTGTTAAGACTGGTACCTTGGTGATCGGATTGGTACCGCTATAGAAATATCACCTTAAGTTAGAACTGTCACCTTGACCCACCAACATCACCTTGACCCAACATCATTACCTTGACCCACCATCATCACCTTGACCCACCAACATCACCTTGACCCACCATCATCACCTTGACCCACCAACATCACCTTGACCCACCAACATCATTACCTTGACCCACCATCATCACCTTGACCCACCAACATCACCTTGACCCACCAACATCACCTTGACCCACCATCACCTTGACCCACCAACATCACCACCAACATCACCTTGACCCACCAACAACACCACCAACATCACCTTGACCCCCAACACTCATTACCTTGACCCACCAACATCACCTGACCCAACATCATTACCTAGACCCACCAACATCACCTTGACCCACCAACACCTTGACCCACCAACATCACCACCAACATCACCTTGACCCCCAACATCATTACCTTGACCCACCAACATCACCTGACCCACCAACATCACCTTGACCCACCAACATCACCTGACCCACCAACATCACCTTGACCCACCACACATCACCTTGACCCACCAACACCAACACCTGACCCCCAACATCATTACCTTGACCCACCAACATCACCTTGACCCACCATCATTACCTAGACCCACCAACGTCACCTTGACCCACCAACATCACCTTGACCACACCAACATCACCACCAATATCACCTTGACCCCCAACATCATTACCTTAACCCACCAACATCACCTTGACCCAACATCACCTAGACCCACCAACATCACCTTGACCCACCAACATCACCTTGACCCACCATCACCTTGACCCAACATCATTACCTAGACCCACCAACATCACCTTGACCCAACATCATTACCTAGACCCACCAACATCACCTTGACCCACCAACATCATTACCTTGACCCACCATCATTACCTTGACCCACCAACATCACCTTGACCCACTAACATCACCAACATCACCTTGACCCCCAACATCATTACCTAGACCACCAACATCACCTTGACCCACCAACATCACCACCAATATCACCTTGACCCCCAACATCATTACCTTGACCCCCAACATCATTCTTGACCCACCAACATCACCTTGACCCACCATCATTACCTAGACCCACCAACATCACCTTGACCCACCAACATCACCACCAACATCACCTTGACCCCCAACATCATTACCTTGACCCACCATCATACCTTGACCCACCAACATACCTTGACCCACCAACATCACCTTGACCCACCAACACACCTTGACCCACCAACATCACCACCAACATCACCTTGACCCCCAACATCATTACCTTGACCCACCAACATCACCACCAACATTACCTTGATATAAGAGACAGGAGGGAGACTTCTGGGAGTTAGCGTGTTGGGTGGAGAGGGTGAGTAGAGAGGACCCCCAGAGTGACCCACTGACGGCCCCTGGCCTGATCCAGAAACTGATCCACGACATGATGACGATGAGGCAGGTGGGGATGTAGGTGTGAACAGGTAGTACCCGCTTAAGGTGAACACGATCTCCAGACACGTGAAGTTACCTGTAGGAGGGAGACCTGGTGGTGGGTGTGTACCTGTAGGAGGAAGACCTGTGAGTGGGTGTACCTGTAGGAGGAAGACCTGGTGAGGGGTGTACCTGAGGAGGAGGACCTGTGATGTACCTGTAGGAGGAAGACCTGGTGTGGGGTGTACCTGAGGAGGAGGACCTGGTGAGTGGTGTGTACCTGTAGGAGGAAGACTTGAGTGGGTGTGTACCTGTCGAGGAAGACCTGGTGTGGGGTGTGTACCTGTAGGGAGGAAGACCAGGAGTGGGTGTGTACCTGCAGGAGGAGGACCTGGTGAGGGGTGTGTACCTGCAGGGAGGAAGACCTGGTGAGTGGGTGTGTACCTGTGGGAGGAAGACCTGGTGAGTGGGTGTGTACCTGTAGGGGAAGACCTGGTGAGGGTGTGTGCCTGGTAGGAGGAAGACCTGGTGAGTGGGTGTACCTGTAGGAGGAAGACCTGGTGGGTGGGTGTGTATCTGTAGGAGGAAGACCTGGTGAGTGGGTGTGTACCTGTAGGAGGAAGACCTGGTGAGGGTCTGTACCTGAAGGAGGAAGATCTGGGAGGGGTGTGTATCTGAAGGAGGAAGACCTGGTGAGTGGGTGTGTACCTGTAGGGAGGAGGACCTGGTGGTGGGTGTGTACTAGGAGGAAGACCTGGTGAGGGTGTGTACCTGTAGGAGGAAGACCTGGTGAGTGGGGTGTACCTGAGGAGGAGGACCTGGTGAGTGGGTGTGTACCTGTAGGAGGAAGACCTGGTGAGTGGTGTACCTGTAGGAGGAGGACTCAAGAGTGGTGTACCTGTAGGAGGAAGACCTGGTGGAGTGGTGTACCTGTAGGAGGAAGACCGAGTGGGTGTGTACCTAGGGAGGAAGACCTGGGGGTGTGTATCTGTAGGGAGAAGACCTGGTAGTGGGTGTGTACCTGTGGGAGGAAGACCTGGTGAGGGTGTGTACCTGTGGGAGGAAGACCTGTGAGTGTACCTGAATGAGGAAGACCTGAGAGGAAATAGACCTGTGACTATTACCTGTATAGAAAACCTGATAATTATTCTACCCAGAACAGTACTTGGCTGACGCTGTAAATAATACCCACCCTCTCTCTCTCTCGGATCCACATTAACCACTATTTCTTCATCTACCTCTTCACCTCCACTACCTCCATCACCTCTCACTCTCTTCAACCTCCACTACCCACCTTTACACCATTCCTTATCGTGTCAGGCATCAGTAACGTAAATATATATTACTACCATATAATAGTAAGCCTATGAGTAAGTTTATGTCCCCCTAACCCAAACAAAATTATCTATATATTTCGGGGAGGGTCAAAGAAGAAGGTAAGAAGTTAGGTTAGGTTAGGTTAGGTTAGTTTGCTAGGGTTAGGGTTGATTTGGTTTAAGAGTAGTTAGGTTAGTATATCTCCAAGTCATTAATGTTCAGATACAAATATTATCATGAAATAATAATAACAATTAACCTTAAACTTTCACTATAACAAATGTGTAATGACTATTGTTGTTCACACACACACACACACAACACACACACACACACATTTCGGCTCCTTCAAACTCGACCCATTTCAGAAATTAGTGTGTCTGTCGCTCCAAATTTGGCTCAGCCCTTCTTGCTTTGATGTCCACCGCTTGCCCGTGTCACTGAGTTATGAAAAAAATTATTATATTGTATTAACCCGAGTCATCCCGTGTGCAGTGTGGTAAAGGCGTCCCACTGTGTGTCCCGCAGGAGCTTTCACTCTTACACTCTCTAGCTGCTCTTTAAACTGTCAAAGCCCTTCTGAAATCTGGTACTTCAGTGGAATTTTTCCTTACGTCTGCCCTGAAAATCTAACTGGAATCTAATTTCTTTGTGATCGCTGTTTGCAAGTTCGTTCTCCTCGACACTACTAATGAGGTTTTTCTGTTCGACAGAACTAAATCCAGTATATTATTACCCCTGTGGTTCGGTTATATGTTGACTAGAAACAGTCCTGGATCGTCTCGGAGAATCCTCTGACTCTGAGTTACCGCAAGTCAATCCAATCTATTTGGGCCAGTTAAAAGTCGCCTACTATACAGACTTTGTTGTGTATGGAAGCCCTGCGCATTTCATCCCAGATAAGTGCTCATGGACTCTATCAAGATTGCGGAGGCTACTCCTGTGATTAATTTTCCCGACCGTCGATTAATTCTATCCAAATTGTTTCTTGTATTCTGCCTCAGTTTTTATTTCCTATTTATTATTAATTTCAGATTATCCCTAACATAGATTGCTACTCCGCCTTCTGGTCTGCCTATGAGTATGAATAATTTAACCCGCAATTTGGTATTCAACCGGTAACTCACGAGTCTAGGTTGATCCATGCTTTATGAATGCTATTGTATCGATTTTTCGGTACATACCAAGCGTCTCTAATATCCATTTTGTTTCTCATACTTCTACTGTTCGCGTAGTAGACATTTAAGATAGTGTGTTCTGAGTCCTCCCTATCCGCGTTTAGTTTTAAACTCCTGTTTAATTTAGTTTTCATTCATTCCGAACACTATACTCTCGTAATCTTTTACTTTGTTTACCTCCCCACTGCAGTTTCCACCCCCGTGCCCATATGTTCCCTAGCAGTTTAAAGACTCTGATATCCTTTGAACCTGCCCCTCTAGAGACCCAGCCAGGGCTACACCCCATCCTCGAGACAGGCACCCCATCCCTAGCATAAGGTCCCTTCTGCCGTAGAAGTTGTCCCAGTTGTCAATGAATGGGACTGATATTGACTTGCATATCGTCAGATTGGTCGTTGACACCAACCGCCCTTGACAACCATTCACTGCCAACTCCCAGGCAGGACACAGCATATGATAGATCCTCAGACCTAATACGTCCCATAGCTGCCTTGAACTTATCAAGAAGCTCCTCGCCTCCCCACCGGCCAATATCATTGCCCTCCTGCACTGAGGCAGATAATGGGTTTGTTCCACACAGACAAGATATTGTCCATCCTGTCAATTATATCCCCACCCCAGCCCTGGCAAACACACCCTCATCCTATTTTGTTCTACCACAAAGGCCCCTGTCCAAGTACCCAATGAGTCACCAACAAAGTTTTATACCTTCCTTGTCATCCTGTCCCTGACTGTACTAACACCCATCTGTCTATCACACTGAACGAGTTGGAACACTTAGCTGTTGTTGTCGTATCCTTGGTATTTCTTCACCACCAGCTTGTCTCCACCCTCACAACCTTCCACTCGCTTGAGTTTCACACTGACTCCTGTCCTGCCTCTTTAACCTCGCCTTTCCTTTTTAATTTCAGGTTCTCCGACGGCCCTCTCAATTTCTTCCTTGGCCTCGCCAATTCTTCCATGGACCACCCAGTCTGGTCAACAAACTCACACCCAAGAACCATAGACTGGCCATATCTGATAATTATCCCCAGGAGCACCTCACGACCTTTCCCTAATGAGGTCAGAACACAACCTGTACAGTAGTAGTAGTGGTAGTGGTGGTGGTGGTAGTAGTGTGTGGTAATGATGGGAGAGAGAGAGACAGACACAGAAATACGCAACAACAAATACACCTGTAGATACAAACCACACATACCTGACTGCGTCCATTCTCCCAATCAGTCAATACTTTCTACAAGTGAAAAATATTCTCACTCTGTATACCTGAAGAATCTCACCTCAGCTTATTTCACCCTGAAGATTAAACCACCCTAACGTTATTTGGGGGAGAAAGTTGCTTTTGTTTGGCTAGTTAAAGTTATATTAGCTAGGTTAGGTTAGAGTTATTCTATCAGCAGTTCGTATGGAAAGTTCGCTGGAAGTGTTTGCTGGCTAGTGATAGGATCGTTCCATGATAACACGCCAACAGTTCACTCCCAAGCAAAACCGAGCGTGACAAATTTCCATCCCTTAACCCTTAAATGGGGGACTCCTCTGTGCTAACGTCTGGCATTAACTAGATAAATCTACATGGTTAATAAAAATTCTCCTCATTAACTGACGTTTCTTGATTTATTTAACAAAGACCAATGTACATGAAGGGTTTACAGAAATAAAATAAGAAACAAAATGCTATTCCTCCATTTTGTACAATATATTTGAGAAGAACAAATCTTCTATAACAATTTTTTCCCAAAGTGACTCCTTCTAAACATATGGTAAGCAAACCAATACGACAAACATCAACTCAGAATAAACGAGACAAAGGTTCTATTTTACCAGAAGAAATGTACGTTTCTGCATTTTATTACAGAAATGAAATCAACAAATAACAACATATTAAGATAGTTAAATTAAACAATAATACTTTCCAGAAAATATCACAACAAAATTAATAAAAATATAACCTGATAAACCTGATGATCTCAACACGAATCGAAACAAGAACAAAAGTAAAAAATTCCTATAAAACAAAAATCAAATTATTCAAATAAAAATGAAAAATGAAAAAAAATAACCTCGACATGAACTCTTGAGTCCAAGCGATACTGAACCCCTTTCAAAACAAGAGATGAGTATTGTTTGTGTGCCAGGTCACTGAATGTCATCCAGACCCTACTATAATTGCACCCACGGCACCATAACCCCGTGGCATGCTCACAACACACCCCCTCATACATTTATTCAGTCATCAATCTCTCTCTCTCAATCGCCATTTAAAAGACCCATCCGACAAATCCCACCCGACATCCAATTTAATCTCAGAATAAAAACTCTATATGACAACTCACCCCATCGTACGTAAAACAAAGAAGAGTGAAGACAGTAAAATTAGACAGGCGCGTCTGCCAATCCAACGCCCTAAAACA